TCATCTGTGTGTTTTAACATCATTCTCTGTAGCTCAATAACAGCAGGAATCACAACTGAGGCTAATACGTCTGAGGATTCTACAGTCAAACACAGCCCTTACAGAGAGCTCTGTCTAAAAACAATTTCAAATAAAGCTGTTTCATTTAAAAGAACACGCTGTGTGCCAAATACTGAGCAAACACGCTGAGAAACTGAACAGTGCTTGGAGTCATGGCGCGAGCGAAAGCATAAATGCAACATGTCGCCGCTGGAGAGTGTATCTCTATTATTTCCCCATTACAAATAATGGTTTTGAATTTTTGTACTCTGCACGCAGCAAATCTGGTGTGCGGGGCTCTTTTCAGAAGGCAGTTTTGCATGCACAACATGTAAAGATATCGACATGCAAAATATTGGATAGTGACATTTGCAGATATGTACATGTAAAATATCAAAATAGGAATGAAAAACATAATTGTTACTTGTTTTATTTGGTTCTCTATATCTTCTGTAATGACTTAAGTGAAGATCTGATCACATTTTAGATCACAATTATGTAGAAAGAAAAAAAAATTCTAAAAGGTTCACAAACTTTCCAGCACCATTGTATATGCTATATTCCCTTTGCTCAATAGAGATCTCATCACTACCTAGTAAGTAGCAATGAAATACATAAATTTAAATCTACATTTTCCTTAACTTGGTCACTTCGGTGCACAACATACAGAAATGTCTGACCATTGTAACAAAACAAATTGAGTGTTTAGCAAAGGTTAATTAATCGTGAGAACTCATCATATCTCAATACACGTGTAATTGTTTACAAATGGATCTTGACCTTCTGAATATGGCGGACGCGCAGACACATACCTCGTGATTGCGAACAGACAACGGGGCATCTCTATGTATACCTATTTTTGCATCTATGGGCTGGGCGACCACCACTTAAACTTCAAGTTCAAATTTCCTACTGACATGGCGCCAAATCAGATACACTGAAGAAGCTTGCAATTTCGCTTCTAACGTTACGTGCTGTATTGGAAAACAAAACCCAATCTATGGATTTTAAGAAATGCGGAAAAGCACAATGCACTAAACAGTAATATTAACGTTTGCCCTTCCATCACAATAGGCAAAAACTATATATGATGTTATATCACTTGTGATTTATGATCTGGTTTGTGCAGTCATAAAAGCTGGCAAAATCAGGACTTACTTAGCTAAGCTAGCTAGACGCAACCAAGTATGAGCAACGAAGCATGAGTGGCCTAAGATAGCTAGCTAACTAGCAAGCTAACCGAAAAGATACGGTCTTTCATTCGGAGACAGACCTTCCGAGCAAGACCATTCAATGTGACAAAAGCACATTTATTACAACTAATACCTGAACACATGATATGAGTAGATATACCACAGTGAGTAGCACTTCAGTATACAAACATACCTCAAACCACTGTTTCGTCCCGCGCTGCCGCTTGTTCTTCTTCTACTGGGAGTTATGCCGGATCGCAAACTACACGCGCAGACCGCCACCTACCGTGCTACCGTACTATACTGTGACTGGGCCACACACTTGAATTTTTTTTGCAGTCATTATGAAACAGGCTTTGCAAATACATTTCTTTCAGCAACCTTAAGAGGCAGTAACAAAATAAGTACATACCTAGAAGAGGGAAAAACGCCCAACCCATTAACTTTCAAAATAGCCTACACTTTATGATAATTTTTACCACACATACATTTTAGAGATTTGTAACACAATGCCAATTCATTTTAAAATGCTAACCAATTGGGATTATTTTTAAAGATTCTGCATTTATGTACAGAATATTTAGCCAGAATTATAGTATTATTAACATATTTTAATAAAAAGAGCATTTTAATACATTTATATTCCAGGTCATGTGCAATGCACATTAACATAACACTACCACGTCAATGTCACTGCAGCGCTGAGAATCATCCACCACCCAAATAAAACATACTCTGTGGCGGTCCAGCAGGTCCTGACCACTAATAAACTTGGCAAAGGTGGAATTACAAATTATGCAAATAATTATGCAAAAAACAGATGGACTACAGTCTGTAATTGTAGAACTACAAAGTGCACCTATATGGTAAATGGAGTCCACAAAATGGGCAATACATGTGGATGCAAGGTAGGTGTACCTAATAAAGAGATTGGTGAATAAATAGCATGTATAATGAATAATAATGAATGCACAATGGACTACAAAAAAAATCAGTTCTTTCTTCTTTTTATTTTTTCATTCTGAAAAAAACATAATCTGGTATTGACTACTACAAAGTCTTGGTCTTGACTCAGACTCAACTACTACAAAGTCTCTGTCTTGACTCGGACTCAACTACTTGTCTTGGTCTTGGTCTTGACCTGGACTGGACTGGACTATTACAAAGTCTTGGTCTTGGCCTGGACTCGACTACTACAAAGTCTTAAACTTGACTCAGACTCGATATGTCCAAGTCTCAGTCTTGGCTCAGACTCATTTCTAATAGTCTTGACCACAACAATGCTTCTACCAAGAGGAATAGCAGTAATCTATGTAAGACCCTTTTTATGAGTACAAGTAATGTTATATGGTTTTTGAGAACTGTATTACTGAGGAAGTTTCCTTCACTATACATTATCTGTACAACAGACCAAATTCCCTCTTCCATCCAACCCCTGCAATTCTTACATAAGAATGAATGTAATACTTGACTGTGAAAAGAAGATAGTTTGAAAGATATTTTACATGTCTAAAAATCACATTTAAAAGCAATTCAATGCGTCCAAATTACTACAAATGACTTTATCAGGAAGATTAAACCAGACACAGCGCCCATCTCTAAGAAATGGTACACTCTTGAATATAATGTAACTGTAACTTAACCGTGAACCTTTCATACTGCCTTTTGTACTTCCAAAACACAGATTAGGAACCAGTAGTTTTAAGGTAAAAGATACAGCACAAGCTCAACATGGTGCTTTGGTCTTCTTGATATCTTTAGTTTTCAACATGAAAATGAAACCCCACAATAAATTGTTGTATGAAATTGTTAACCTAAAACCAGTTTATTTAAAATATTTTTCTTAAATGTTGTATTTATGCAACTAAACCTTTAAGGGGAAATTTAGAACCTGATAGGGCAAACTTTACAAATTTATTGGGGGCAATTTTGAAATATTGCATGGTCACATGAATTAAACATTTAAAAATTTTCATGGAAATCCATGATGTAACTTACCAGGCCCTAGGTCAGTTGGAATGGTAGAAAAACTAATAAATAATATTGTTAGCACTCATTACTGACTCATAATCATGTTTGAAGTCATTACAAAAAAAAACACTCCTGAATCATTTGTTATTTTCTGTAGTACTATAATCCATCTTATCAGAAGCTATTCTTAGTTTGAATGAAAATGATGAAAATGTAATTTTCTCTATATAAACACAGACTCTCTGGCTAATTTTTTAATTACACCTACCTCATATCTATATTCATTGTCCATTTTGTCAGATCGACTTACTATATTGGCACATTCTGTAGTTCTACAGTAAAAGATGGTAGTCCATCTATTTTACAAATAGTGCAAGCATTAATAGATGGACATAAATGAACTATAGTGCACATATCTGGTAAGTGGACCTAAAATAAACAATAACTGTAGATATAAGGCATGTGTACCTAATAAAATGGCCAGTGTACGTCACACACACAGGCAGCAATACATTTTTAGGCAAAATACAGAAGCTGAACCTGCCTATTTTTTGTACAATGGATATGACTGAAATAGGCTATTGTGTAATCACACTGTATTATGTTAGGTCTATAAGAGTATATAATATTTTTTTTGTATGCATGCTTTACCTGAAATATTATAATCATCACACAAAATACATTTTTCAAACTTTTAGTAATATTTAAGCGTTGGCCCTATCATCAGGAGATCGCGAGTTCGATCCCTGGTGATGCTACAGCGGGGAATCCAAGAGAGCACAATTGACCTCGCTGTCTGGATGGGTAGGTTGGCCCCCCTTCTCCCCCCATCACTCAACGCGATGCTAGTCAGCGCAGGCGTCTGTTAGCTGACGTAACAGATCTGGCGGTTGGCGCTTTCCTCCGGGCGCGTTCGGCTGTCCAATAACGTTGCGTGAGCGGCAGTTCGAAAAAATACGGTGGTTGGCTTCACCCTCCTAGCACTGGTAGCATCATGTTATTGCGGGAGTCCTAACTAGTGGGTGGATTTGGAGATTACTAAATTGGGTAGAAAATTGGGGAAAAATCCAAAAAAAAGAAATGTTTAGGCTGCAATTCACATATATACTGATTCTTGTACGTGGCACATCTTAGCCAAAGTAAATTATTATGATATTGCAGAAAAACAACGTGGAGATGTTAATTAAAATCCACTACTCAGGTTATTACCCAGCTTACTGCTAAATGTAAATATTTTATTAGCGCTATCATGAGGGCAATACATTTTTGTAGCTTGAAAGCAACTCAATAAACTAATGTGTTATGACAGTAGGAGAATAAGGTTTCATGTGGGGAAAAAACCTGCTGGAAATCAGCAAATCAATTCACCTTACCTGTTCAGTAGAGCAATAGTGCAAGGGGAAAATGTCTGGGCAATAGTTGCTTGTTGGATGTGCTCACTATATTGTATGAAGTGGAACAGGGCAGAAGCTGATTTGAAGTGTTTCTGAAGTTTGAACAAATTTAAAGTATTGCTTTTATTCATTTTATTTGAGTTGAATAAAACCTGTTAAATTGCTTGTTATGACATGAAGTATTATTTTAGGATGAACTGATTAACCTTTGCCGAAAGTAGAAATAGAGACTGAGGGACCACCTTGCCCTTGGACAGGAACTGAGTATCATTTACAAATGAGCCATCACAATACCATCACTTCATGTAGAAGTGTATGGTTTTTATATGCTGCAGATTGGCATGATGATGTTGTGTAAATGTTTTTTGTCAGTACCAGCCACAGAAATCACAAAATGGCAGTGTGCATTTATTGTCTCTTTTTACTTTAATAGGGCTATATCAGCCATTGTGAAGAAAAAAAAACTGATTTTTTAACATCAGAAAGAAACATGGAAAATGGGAACAGAATGAAAAGCCAGCCATCTCTCCATTTTTTCTGCTTGTCTGATGCTAGAGCACTTCAAATGAGTTGGCACCAAGGTATTTAGTTCATATCTTATCAGATGCGTGTCAGCTGATGCCAAAGTCCTGACGGCAGAATACTTTCCACTTTCTCCATGATGAAGTTTAGAGGTGCAAACAGGGTGCCAAGAAACTGCAGCGAGAAGGAGGGGAAAAGGTTTAGTAAATATGTGAAACTCAAGGTAGTTCTGCAAAACGAACGTTGCATGTAACTGTTCTCTGTTTAAGCAAAGATAAAAACTAAAACATAAATAAATGAATCACATAATTAAAATAATTTTAAGTTCAAAAGAAAAAACTGAGCATCATTGTATCCTACATAAGTCTTTGTACAAGTTCTCACACCTCTCCCCTTTAGGTCATAAGTATTGGCACAAGTGGATAAATTGTGTATTTATGGGTGAGGTGTTTTTTTTTTTCACATAGTATGCATTCTTGGATTAATCCTTTGGAATCTGGAGAAACTTTAAAACCCTTGAAATGCAAAAAAAAACAAACTGCTCAGACAAGACTTGCGCTACATAACAAGATATAGAACAAATGTAAACTGGACATGTCCTGGCTTGGAAACACCATTAGTACAAATTTAAAAAGACAGATTGGAGCAGGTATGGGTAAAACATACATTGTATGTCCAACAGTATCTACACACCCTTGTAATTAAACTCCATAATACCCTTAATTTTGGAATAAAATTTGGATGAGCAGGCATCCACAGACATGTAGATATAAAGTGTATTGCTTTGATTTATCATAGTTGTGGCAATATGTGCAAGCAAAATTTGACCTAAAATTAAACCCTGTGTGATACCTTTGGTTATTGGAAGAAATTCAGATTTACAGTTCACGCACCATCATCGGTCAAAGAGGTAGCTCTAAATCCATTTAATAGCATTACGGTCAAAGCCAACACTACATAGTCTTTTCAGGTCAAAGGTTGATTGTCCGTATCAAAAGCTATTGTCAGATCTACTAAAAGGCCTGCGCAATGTATCCTTCTGTCTAGAGCTGTGATAAGACCATTTAAAATCAGGGTAGTAGCTGTAAAAGTACTACGCTCTTCTCTGAAACCAGAGTGCTGGGTGCTCAAAACAGAGTTAACTTGAAGGAAGGATTTAAGTTGATCGCTTACTAACAATTCTAGGATCTAGTATCCTAATTCTAAGATACTAGACATTGTTTTATAAATGTTCATTAGATGTTTTGCCTTTATGCCATGGGGTTAAATTAGTTGTTTTTCAGACACTAGGAACTGTGCCTGATAAAATCAAGAGATTGAAAATTTATGCTATCTGATCTAAAATAATTGAAGCAACAAGTCTTAGGAAAAAAAGGATCCAGTTTATCTTCTCCAGTTGATTTCCTAGGGTTAATGGTTAAAAGTGCTTTAGCTACTATACTTCGGAGAAGGGGTGGAGGGTAAAACAAACTATGGCTTGCTCAACGCACCTGATCCAACTAATCAGCTAATTAACAAGCCCTTCATGACTTGAAGTTGGTGTACTGGGAGCATGGAAAACACTACAACGTGCACGGTAGAAAGTACTCCAGGACCCGTGGCTTATGGGATAAATGTTCAGAGACATTCAAAGGAAGTCCTATAGATGTCATGACAAACAAATGACCAATAGCTGCAAAATGATTACTAGAAGTTAAGCAAGTTAGTCAGTAATTAGCTCAAGTGCAATAAGAGGAGGAATAGAGGAAGAGTGTTGTTTTCCACAGAGTTACTGCCTTCCAAGCCTTGAAAGGATATGAATGAGAACTAGAAATCAGGTTCAAATAATAATCAGATTTTGCTTTCCTAATAAGAAATGTGCATTTGCTTCTGTCTAGCCAGTGTCTAGGCTTTATTTCTTGACTTAAGAAACAGAGATTTCATTAGAAAGAGGGCCGATCTATCCTTAATCCTGTAGTTCCTAAAATGTGTCTGTGTGTTGACTACAGAGAGGGGCTGTGATCACTAAAACCAAGATCAAGGACACCCAATACAATTATTTTATCACTCCTATTGGACAGTAGTAAGTCAATTAACTTACTAGTGGGGCCTAGTTGGATCAACAATCAGTTGCAAGAGGTTGAGGTTATCACATTGATTCCTGATCAGATGCACTGGTTAGCCAATTTTTATTTAAAATCACTCAAGATGATAGCTTCTGAGTTACAGTATTTTGCTATTAACTCTGTAATATTGTTCACCACAGAAGAGGGAGCAGAGGGAGGTCTGTATATCCCACCACAGTAAATAGTTTTGTCCTAATGTTATTTTCATGGCTGAGTTCAAAACAGTTCTACACACTGATAGCATCAAGGATTGTGGCTACAAAACAGGGGCCGTATTACTGAAACTTTCTTTTTTTTCTTAACTTAAGATCTGACAGGTCAAGATAAAATTTTTTACAATTACAGAAGCAAATCTTATCTTGAATTAGGAATCTTATCTTACAGCATCTTATCTCAAGTTAAGAAATCTTAACTTACTCGAACAAAGTCGACAATCAACTGTCATGTCTGTTACCTAGCAACCGACTGTACGCGCACAGCTGAAACGTAAATACCATAAATATACATACCTAGATGCCGATGGGTCCAGTCAGGCACATCACTGGCGCCGCCATTTTAGTGCGGTCAACATCGCTGCTGGACTGCATTCAGTAGCTACCATTATGGAGTGGCAGTTTAAGAAAAGATACTGTCCAAAATTGTACTGTTTCAAGAACATTGCACTCAGAAAGTGGAATAGGATTATATAATGGAAGGAATGCAGCGACCCACGCTCATGTTTGTGAGATGCGTATTGTTTGTGTATTGTTTATTTGCAGATATGGCGGTGTGAGTCACACAGAACATGTTGATATGTTTGTTTTTTCCCTGGTTTTATATTAAGCTTATTTTATTTATTAGTCTATTCAGGGGATCTTAACTTGATGTAGTAGTTATTTATTTACAATGATGGTTAATGCTTTGTAGCTAGGTAAGTTAGAGCATTCCTTAATCTGTGTAGATATTCATAATAGATTAACGTTAGCACTTTCTTACACAAAGTTGAAGTTAGCTTCTTATTTGCCAGCTTCTTGTTTTACTGTTCCCCCTTAAGTGGTACAGCTTCAGGCACCAGAAAGTGACTGCTGCACCATTTAAGGTGGAATGGGAAAACTCGAACAAGAAGCTGGCGAACAGGAAGGAAACTTTAGCTTTGTCCTTCTTACTGTGTTTTGGGGGATTTATTTTATTTTTTTGTGTATAAAGATTAGAACTGATTCACACACTGATGGATGTGCTGATTGTGAGATTATGATTCTACCAGAGCACTAAACTCAGTTTTTTCTCAGTGAATTTTAATTGCAGTTACTGATTCTGTAAGGAAGATTTATTCAAATCAATTTACAAGATTTCCTGTAAAGGTAAGCAAAATGCATATGTTTGCATAGTGTTCATGTTCATTATTATGTATAATTTGAAACAACTGCTGTGTCTTTATTTAAATCAGTCATACATTTCCTCAGCTGATTATTGTCAATGTACATATCCAATTGGGGCACAACAAGAGCACCGCTGACAGATTTATGATCCCTTGTGTCAGAATAAGCCAAGCCGAAATGACTGACTCATGACTTGGAATAATACCGTGGTTTTTTAAATAATTATTGACCTTGAGACTTATCCAGTTGTTTTAAGATGAAGCTTGAGACAATGCAATAGAAATCCAGGGTGGAGTTTGAAAAAAAAAAAAAGTTTTTTTTCAAAAGACTTGTATTTGCAAAATTGTTGGGCTCAGTGGAATACGTAAAATTTACAAACTTTCTTTGCCACAAGATAAATATTGTACAGCCTGTGACTGTATGTATGTTTGAAGAAGTAATTTGCATTTAATGCTGAAGCTCTCCCTGGTGGCCGGAGAATATATTGCCTTTCCAGATTCTTTGGCCAAGATGTATATTTCCTATGCAATTTTGGAACATATATATATTTGCAAAGTTTGAGATGTTAATAAGATGTGTAGTCTGAAAACATCATCCTTTCTTTATTTCAATCATTAAAAAGGTTTACTGACATTTAAGTAAATTTGCATTAGATTAAGCATTGTGGGGGCCCATGGAGACCAATTTAATCAACAATTTGCATGCTTCCTCAGGGCATTGTTTTGTACAAAATTCAAAATTTGGTTATAATCTGAAAAAGACTGATGGATTTGTAGCCTTGTATGTCAGAGAACGTAAGGCAGAACAGAGTAATTGATGTGTCACAGCTATTTTTTGCAATAAAGATTTTTAAATTAATTATACCCCTACAGAGTCCACAAATTGTAACAAAGATAAAAGAATTTGATTAAAATTCACAGACTAGTTCAAAAAGCTAATTTATCAAACATTGAACAACTGCAGAAAAACTTTTAAAGAATTTTAAAAGACTTATATTTAATAAAATATCATTTTCAGTGCTAGCCATGATATGAAGTGATTTATTCAATCTAAGATAAACTTTTAGGAATTATTCTTGTTTTTGTTGTATAGCACCATCTCGTGGCCAACTGAGGTCAAACTTTATAGGGCATTAGAGATTGCCTATGTGGACACATGCTAATTTTTTTGTGATGACTAGACAATGCCAAGCCCTCCAAAAGCCTGTTGAAAACTTATTGGCCAATGGCAGCCATATTTGTCCAATGATTGAGTTGTCATTAGTGAGTCACTCATAAAGTAGCTCATGAATGCAGCATGCAAAGTTTCAGTTCAATTGGCCAAGTAGTTACTGAGAAACAGATTTTTGGTTGTTATAGTGCCCCATATTAAACTAATGGTATGAAACTTAGTGGGCTTTCACAGAATCATGTGGGGTTTAGGCCTATTAAGTTTCATGAGAATTTGTCAAAGCAAGCCCGATTTGTAGCCACTTCTGTGAAATAAGCTAATCCTAGGGGGGATTAATTGGCATGTGGCAGCCATATTGTTTACAAATGTCAATATTTTTTAGATAAGTATTTAGGGTTAGAATCTTGCAGGAAATTTCAATTTAATAGGTACAGACCAAATTCTAAAACACTATGCTATAGTGCCCCCTTTAGGCTATCTGGTGTCATCTCGTGCGTTTGAGTAGCAGGAGGTTGTTGTGCATGGAGATCTATGTTTTGTCCAAATTTTGTCACAATCGGAGAAAACGTTATGGATGTATAGGTACCTAAATCACAACAAGCCAGGCCAAACAGTTTACTTGGTGTCTTGTGGCCATTCTGTGCACTAAAGTCAAGATTTGTTTGATAATTGTTTACCTACAGACCCCACATATTATTTTAAGCCAAAATTTGTGACAATTTGATTCAAATCCAAAATCTGATTGAAAATTTCATTTTTAAAACTTTGAACAACTGTAGAAAAACTTTAAGACTTAGTCTCAGTATAAGTCATGACATACGGTAATTTATTTTCATCCAAGATAAAATTAATAGGACTTATCTTTATTTTTGTTGAACAGCACCACCTCATGGCCAATTGGGGTCAACCGTGATAGGCTGATTGCCTATGTGGACAGGTCACTCAATTTTCATGATGATTGGCCATTGCTAAGTCCGTCAAATGCTTTTTGAATGCTTATTGGCTAATGGCTGCCATATTCGTCCAATTATTAAGCTGTCTTTAGTATCACAGTTTTAAAGTAGTACAACAATACAGCATGCCAAGTTTCAGCTCAATCGACCAAGTGGGGTATAGTCCTGTTACGTTTCATGAGAATTGGCCAAAGCAATCCCGAACTATAGCAATTTTTGTGAATGAAGCTAAATCCCAAAGGGTCTAATTGGCACATGGCAGTTATATTGTTTATAAATCTCCATTTTTTAAAAAATAATTCTGGACCTGCAGTCTTCCAATACTGTGTAGATATCTTAAACCTCAGCCTAGTAGAAAAATGTAGGTGACATTTATTTTGCCAGTTATGATGGAAAATATGGGGGTGGAGCTAAACAGAACCAGTGGGGCATTTATGTGGAATAAAGCAGGAGTAGAAGCAATAATTTTGAATGTAGGCCTCATGGTTCAGGAGATATGGGCCAAAATATAAAAATGCTGCTCTATAGCGCCACCATCAGGCCAACTGGGTTCATTTCACTTGCCTGAGTAGTTGCGGGGATTGTACACCTATGCTTAGTGTTTGGATGACTGATGGTGTCATCTCCCTTATTAGTTTTGGGGAAGAGACAGAAAATGCAAGACCTGAGCAAAAAAATCCTAGGGTTTCAGTCACATGATTTTTCTGTTGTGGCCGCTATATTTGGGACCGAATTTCTGGCTTCACTGCTCCGCACAAATGTAATTACAGGCGAAAGATGGCTAAAATTCATCACCTTACTTTAAAAGAGAAAAAACGTTACCTTGACAAAGTCAATGAAATAGGCTGTGATGCTTACACAGCTTCCCCCTGAACTCCTGGTCCCACTTAAACTTGCAGAAAGCTACCAAATTTTTGTTTTCCTTATTATCTAACACAGCCCCTCTGCCTATTCTGGAGAGTCTCTCAAAGCATTTAACAGCACAGAAGCCCACCAGCTCTTCACATCAGGGTCTGTAAAGGATCCCATGGTGTTGCATAAAGAGAAGAAAACACTCCTTGTCATCATAGGAAGTGTAAGGCGACAGCAGCTAATTAACACAGATGTGAACAATGCTAGCCTTTAGATATCTTTCACTAATGTTAACAGCCAAGAGATAAACAGTTGTCCCCCTAACGGAGCTAGCAGACAGCCGGGTATATCTTTACTTCTCTGTTTCTGGAGATTTAAATGACATTTGAAAGGAGAAACATAAATGTTAAATATAAGACTGAATGTCGTTTGGGTCGGCAGGGCCGCCAGAACCACGGTGGAGAGCAGGTCTGTGTAATCTCGTCAGAGCAAATTGAAAGCATCACGCTATGACAGCCACTTTACTTAATCATCCTTGTGCGTTCCTAAACAATCAATGATTAGAGACTGAGGTGACCTGATAAAACCCTAGGTGCACTTTACGATAACAAAAGAGTTACTAGGCAGGCTGATGCAGTAATCGTTAACACTTTAATGTATCCTGGTTAAACTTGGTTCTAGAATAGACTGGCAGAGCACTCTTCAATAAAGATAATTTCTGGATGGTGCTCTCCTTTTATGTGGAAAAAAATCCAACATATTCCAATCAGAGGAGTGCCTAGGCTCTGGCTGTGGGGCTTTCGCCTCATGTCTTTTTTCATTGGCCCTGGGACTTTTTTATTCCAAATTAGCACTATGAGGATAATTTGAACAAAACCACTGACAAATACAACCATTTTTTTCCTGTATTTTTGAGATTACTTGCAAAAATATAACATTAATGTTAACATTCCAAGGTAGACGTGCACATAGAGAGCAAAAATAGTGAAGGCCACAAAAAACTCAACATTAATTTGTCTTCTTATTATAAACCAATTAAACATTCTTAGTTTTAGCTAGGTTAGCATTAACAAAAGTTAGCAGCTGGATCTAATAATGAAGCTAAATGATGCCTAAAAAGCAGGTGAAGGTCAAAAAAAAGATATCAAAGTAGCTCGCAATTTCCACGTCCGAAATGTAGGCCCTGTGGAACTCAAGGCAAAATCTAGAAGACCAAGAAACCTCACAAATAGAACTGCTCGTATTCCGGTCAGAAAGGCAGTGCAAAACATGACAGCAAAGGACCTGCAAGAAGGTTTCACTGACACAGGGGGAGTGGCACACCGTTCTACTGTGCAGCGTGCTTGTACAAGCATGATCTGCATAAAAGAGTCATTAAAAGGAAACCTTACCTGCAACCTCATCATAAAAGTCAAGGTCTAAAGTATACAAAACCACATATAGAAACAAGTGCTGTGGACTGATGAATTAAAATCAAAAGTCTTTGGCCACAATCACCAAAGGTATGTTTAGAGGGGAAAAAGAAGCAGCATTTGATGAAACAAACACTTGCCCAACTGTTGCACAACAGCATGGGAGTGTTAAGCAGCCAGTGGCACTGCATGGGTAAATGGAAGAATGGATTCCACAAAATATGAGCAAATTGTGGAAACAAATGTAACACAGTCTGGAACCTGAAGCTGAAAAGAGGCTGGCTTTTACAACAGGACAGTGATACAAAATTTACCTCAGACTATGATATCTGCCAAAAATGAGTGTTATCAAGTACTGACTTAGTAGGGTATCCAAAAATTTGTACATGCAACTATTTTGTTGTATTTTTTATGCATAAGTTCACCAAATAGAAAGTAACTACGTATTAACATTTGCAGGAAATGCTATTTTTAGTTTGCTGCAGTTTGTGGCTACTTCTTTTCAATTAAAAAATCTACAAAATATGTAATTTGGCTGGGGCGCCCAAACAGTTGTGTTCAACTGTTTGTAATGAAGACTAAGAAAAGCAGAGAAGATAACTGTCAACAACAGCTAGCTAGCTAACCCCGGCATGGTTGTAATGTCCCATGATTTTCTAACATTTTCCAAATTTAAATATTGACACATGGATATCTACTTCAAGGAATGGTCTTTTCAAAAACTGCACCAAATTTTTTGCACAGCTGGCATAAGAATCAGACCAAAATGTGACTTGAATCTTATCAACTGACCAACACAGTGATCCACCAACCACAGCTTAGATATAGCTATATTTTCTGTGGCAAGCTAAATCTTTTAATGTATTAAAATTATCATATTGAAAGCATCTAAAAACATATTTTACGTCATACTACACACTATTTTTTTACTGTCCTCAGGATGAGATGATAGTGTTAATTGGAGTCATGTGAAAGCAGTTAGGAGAATTTAGAAGTTTCTTAAAAGGAAAGGTGATGTAACACTACACTAAACTTGCTCCTGTCTCAACTTTTTGGAATGTGTTGCAGGCATCAAATTTGGAACATATATATGATGAAAAAACAATGGAGTTCATGAGATGAAAGATACTATGTTTATGTACCATTTTCAATTCAATACAGGTCAAACAGAATTTACTAACCGCTGCTTTCTCACCATTTCACATACTCTCCCAAAAGGAATTTTTTGGAATTGGTTTATGTTATAACATATGAACTCCTTACTTTATATATCTCCAAACCGGAGAACTGAGAAACTGAGAAACCAAACCTACCATAAAAATAACCCCTTACAAATAATGGTTTTTCGAAGTTTAAAGAACCTTCACATAATGTAAAAGTCCTAAGAAGAACCATTACACTGGCATAAAAACTTTACATTAAGTGAAGGATCTTTAAATCTTTAAAAGTTGTTTCACACATCTTTTTTTCAAACATGTTTCTTTCGGGATACAAAAGTTCTTCACTGACATCACTCCAAGAACCTTTTGTGGCACCTTCATTTTAAACAGTGTACCTAAGTCATATGTTTTGCTGACTTGTCAAAGTCCCATCTCTTGTGTTTTTTCCATTTATTAAGGCAGTTAAGTCTAACTGACTACACAAGTCACTACAACTGTGTACTGTTCTTTGAATATACCTGACAAAACATAAAACGTCAGACTCACTGCCTTAGCGAAGACTCCCATGAGTTCCGGAAATTGGTGTGTGAGGAGAGCTAGCATGGCGGTGAAAGAACAAAGGCCTGCTGTAAACAGAATGAAGAAAGGCAGCTCCTTCTTCGGGTACACAGACACTTCATGAAACACTGCTTACACACATAAGACATGTTAGAAAGAGTTAGCTACCACAACACAATCAAAAACACATTGATCAAACCACCCACCCAAACACATGGCTACTATGCTTATTTGTGTACAACACCATGGTCTGTAATAAAGCTGTTAAAATGTTCCACTGCACTGCAAAAGGTCATTAAAGTTCATGATTAAGTTCATGAACATATATGACACAAAACATCTCATCTTAATTATTCTCAGGGCATCATTATTTTGTCATTGGCTGTATCTAAACCAGAAAAGGAAGTTTTTTGATGGTTTAAAGCTGAGATATGATAAGCTAAGTCATCAACATTTACTGAAAAAAAAGAATTTTTAACTATTTAGTGGTTATTGTTTTGCAACACATTAAAAAGATCTAGGAAATATAATGAAATACAAATCAGAACAAATATAAATTGAACCCCTTACATAGTTTGTCTGCCTGTCTGTTCTTTGTAGTTTTGTCTTTGTGTTTCTAGTTTTACCATCCCTGTTTTGTTTGCCACATGAAGCACGTTCAACATAGAGTTCCTGAATACGTTTTGCACCTAATAACAAATGCAACCATCTTTAGCCAAGAACTTTTTTACAATTTTTGCTGTTAACCCAGGTTTAAATACTCAAACACTGATTAACGTGCAAGTGCACATAAAAGCGTGACATTTACAACAAACAGCCAATCATGTGAAACATAGAGAGGTGAGGCTTATTTTGAAGAAAGAAAAAGAAATCATACAATAAAAAAATTGGAAAGTAAAGCAAAAAGCAATACTGTCACCACTGCCACTGTGTTATTGCTTACTGGTGTAGTAACTGTGTTAACTTCTTCATATTAATATAGTATGATTTATTGTCTCTGCTGAAAAGCATTGTGTTTCATATGACGCTACAAACGTCACAATACAATTAAAATAAAGCCTTGGAGCAGGTTAGGTGGTATAAGTTGCTATGGCACTGCATCCTGGTAAAAAGTGATCTACCGTTATAAGCTTAAAAAATCCAGAGTGAGCTTAAACTAAGTTTAAAGGTAGCTGGCAAAGGAAAGAATGATGAGCCTTATGAGACAGGCCCCAAATCTATGAGTCCTTGGCTCTAAAACACAACTCTCAAAAGCAGCCTGCTTGTTACACTCCCTGAGTAGGGGCTGGTCGTTGTGCAATGGCAAGTTCTACAAACTGAAACTTTGGGTAAAAGCTTTCACTATTTTTAGCATTATTATCATGACAATAAGTAGTAGTAGTGTCTAGAGTTGCTTTTGTCTGCTTAAATCCTCACTGATTAAGCTGGCTTTGTTCATGAGCTGAATATCAGAAATTAAACTGCAAATGAAAAGCTTTTATTGTTCATCTTACTAAACATTTTGCATACAGCCACTGAAATTAAACTTTAATTTAATACTAGCATGAAAATAATTCCATGTACACCAGGGGATGCTGACAAAGTAATTGCAAAGTCATTGGCCAAGGCCTTAGAAATACTGTGCCTTGGCAAATCTGTTTCTTGTGTGTATTTTTTAGCTGCTGTCTGCCACAGCTTCCTACTGGAAAGCTTAACTTATGCCAAATTGACCCATCCGAAGAGGGTTTGCCAGTGAAAGGGGAGGAATTTTACCTTTAAGATGTTGTCTAGATAAGAGGATCATTAGATACCAAGCAGAAAGTCCTCAGAGACACAGATTAGAAAAGACATTAGTTAAACTACACTTGCTGCTATGTTTAATGCAAGACTGTGCAAAAAGAGCAGTACTGTCATATTTCAGACATAGTATAACCTCTACCTAGCATCTACAGGTTCAATCATTTCTTGGTTTTGGTCCAGCTTTGAAAGTTTGGTGGTTATTAAACCTTGAGAGACGTAAAGTCTAGCATGGGAGTGCCTATACCTTATGTTCTTAGTATTTAGGAAGTAGATTCTTTAAAAACAATAAGTAAGAGGGCAGGTATTACTAACGTATTTGTTTTGTTTAGTTTAATTTGGGTAGAGCAAGTAGAAATTACATTTACTTGTTGGGTTAGGATAAGGTATTAGAAGACATCTTTCACATCTGCCATATCTTTACAACTTGTGTGCCCCTAAACTTAGCCATGGGGCTAAGTTTAAAGACAAAAACCATAGAAGCAAAGGCCAACAGACACAGACGCAGTGTCTGCAAGTAGTTGGAGGACACAACTGCATGCCTTCAGGGTTGCCTTGGCTATATAGACTAAGCCAAACAGTGTGCTAAAACTTTGTATTGGTGCAATCACCCTCCATCATTCTGTTTTTCTGAAACCTCTTTAGCCTACTGCCATTCCAATCATATGGAAAACATCAACCATCTTCTTTGTCCCAAATAAATCCTAGCTATCCACATTTCAGAACCACCTTTCTAGCATGAAAAAGAGAGACAAGATGCGACTGGACAAGCTGGTCAGGTGAGCAGGGTCAGTAGTCGGTGTGGAACTAGACTCTGTGGTCAAGGTGGCCGAGAGAAGGACTCTGCACAAACTGTTCTCCATTATGGAGGATGATGGCCACCCACTGCACACCATCATCAGGGACAGGAGGAGCATGTTTAGTGGCAGGTTATTGTCACAGAGTTGCTCAACCAACAAATTCAGGAGATCCTTTGTCCCACGAGCCATCAGGCTCTTCAACTCTTCCCAGGGGGGCCGGAAGAGAAGAGAGAAGAGGGAAGAGGAGAGATGAGGACTGAATCTGAATCTCATGTTAAATCATAGGTTTTATCTCATGCTAAAATCTTTAGGTTTCAATTTATCCATCTGCACATATGAATACCTTACTGTACATATTGCATTTTCTGTAGCCCCACTCCACACCTAGACACTTTATTTTGGTACCAACATCTGCACATATTTATTCAGTATTGTTAATATATGCCGTTACCTGTACATATCTGCACATATTTATTCAGTATAGTCATTATATGCCATTACCAGTGCCTCCTGGTACAGTCATCATTGCACTGGCACTTTCATCTCAGGTTATAGATATTATTCCAGATTGTCATATTTTTCTATTTGTATATATGCCTGTAGATAGGATTTTTATATTTATTCTTCCTGTTATATTGTTTACACCCTTACTACTATTACTGTCCTGTGTTGTGTGACTGCTACTGGCTGCTAAATTTCCTTCGGGATCAATAAAGTATCTATCTATCTAGTCCTACCATCATCCATGCAGAGAGAGTGGAAGCAGTTGAGGCTTTCAAATATTTGAATATCATCAGTTTTCCCTGTTAGTTTTGAGGTATTTTGCGTACTTATTCCATCAACTTAATAAAGTTACTGTATAGATAATGTGGTTAAAACAACACCAATGTAAATCTCAGCTGTACAATATGCATAACACACTTTACATTAAAACCTGTTTCAAGTGAACAGGGATTCCAACTTTATGTTTGGGTTGTTAAGTCTGCAAAGAGAAGTTTCACATAAAGTGCTTATTATTTAGCCAAGCTAGCATATGACCACGTACCGTTAAATATCAAATGAACTAACTCATCTTTTACCAAACAGGAAAACAACTGAAAAGCTGACTTTTTAAAATGTATTTCTGGCCTTGGAAATGGGTACAAAGAAACACCCTCCACTCTGTCAGGGTATCAGGAGTCCCCCAGGGCACATCTTTTGACCTTATCTGGAACTTCAAATTTAAATGTATTCATGAAATTGATGGCATTGCTAATGAGCTGAAAAGCAGCCAGCAACGGTTGCTGTGATGGAAGCGTTAAGAAAATGTTGTCCAATCTCCCTTGCAGTCTTCACACAGACTGAAGACCATCTCTTCAAAATTCACTTAAATGAACAGTACCATTGCATTTAATTTTATTTAAAAAATTATCGTCTGACTTAAGTCTATCTGCACTAGCTTAAGGATATGTTTCTTAGTAGACAACAAAGCACTTTTGTAAGTATCTACTGCGGCTTAAATATAAATGTATGATATTTAGACAGCCAAAAAGCTCCTACCACAACACATTCAAAGTCGGGCTTTAAGCTGAACAAAGGATTAACTGAAAATTCAAACCCACAAACTATATCAGAAAAAGAAAACTTCTCATACATCTGAAAGAAAAAGACCTTTAAAGTAACTAAATGACAAAAAATCTTTTACTGTTTGTTATTTTAAATTAATTTTGAAATGTCAGATGTTGATAAGCAGTTTTACTGGATGAATATCAAGAGGCTGGGATCACAAAATGAGCAGAGAGTCAAAGCAAATCAGACAAGCACACAAATCCATCAACCAGTCATGAATGAGCAAAGGCAATAATTACAAGAAAACCACTAAGAATAAAACCAGAGCTAAACTAACACAACAAGCAGCAGGTGTTAGGGTAATGAAGCGACAAAGACGGAATGTTCTACGGAAATCCAAGAGGGCTTGGTCAGTGATTCTCAGCTACAGCGTCATAAGATGCACCAATTTGATTTGTGTTTATTTCCAAAAAATCTTTAAAAAAAAAAAAGAAAAAGAAAAAAAAAAAAGTTTGTACCTTACTCAAGGGCACTTCAGTCATGTCCTGTTAGCTCAGGGGATCAGATCGCTGGTTCCCTAGCCTCAACTGAGGCAACACTGTTAATTAACTGAATATACACCGACCAGCCAATTCATTAAGTCCACCTCCTTTTTACACTCTTTGTCCATTTTATCAGGTCCACATTGTAGTCCTACAATTACAGACTATAGTGCATCTCTGCCTATACATGGCTGGATACAGAACCATTAATGTCACTGGTACATTGGTTCTCTAAAATGGCATTTACAGTAAAGCTGGCAATTTTTAAAGCAATTTTACTATCAAAATGTTTTTCTTTAAACCCATACTGGGTATGTACTGGTGTACTAAAACCCAACTCCTCTTTTTATCATGGAGTTGCAAGAACTACTGTTGTGCTCTTAAAGTTTTCAAATTCATTACTGTCACTGGTACAAATAAACAGAAACTTATTCACAAATCTAAACTGATCTGTTTTTGAACAAA